CTGGCTCTCTACTCTGTCCGCTCTGCCCTGGCTCTCTACTCTGCCGGCTCTGCCCTGGCTCTCTACTCTGCCGGCTCTGTCCTGGCTCCCTACTCTGCCGGCTCTGCCCTGGCTCCCTACTCTGCCGGCTCTGCCCTGGCTCCCTACTCTGCCGGCTCTGCCCTGGCTTCCTACTCTGCCGGCTCTGTCCTGGCTCCCTACTCTGCCGCTCTGCATACTCTCCCTACTCTGCCGGCTCTGCCCTGGCTCCCTACTCTGCCGGCTCTGCCCTGACTCTCTACTCTGCCGGCTCTGCCCTGGCTCTCTACTCTGCCGACTCTGCCCTGGCTCCCTACTCTGCTGGCTCTGCCCTGGCTCCCTACTCTGCTGGCTCTGCCCTGGCTCCCTACTCTGTCAGCTCCGCCCCGGCTCCCTACTCTGTTGGCTCTACCCTGGCTAACTACTTTGCTGGCTCTGCCCTGGCTCCCTACTCTGCTGGCTCACTACTCTGCTGGCTCTGCCCTGGCTCCCTATCCGCTGGCTCACTACTCTGCTGGGTCCGCACTGGTTCCCTACTCTACTGGCTCAATACTCTGCTGGGTCCGCACTGGCTCTCTACTCTGCTGGCTCTGCCCTGGCTCCCTACTTTGTCGGCTCTGCCCTGGCTCTCTACTCTGTCGGCTCTGTCCTGGCTCTCTACTCTGCCGGCTCTGCCCTGGCTCTTTACTCTGCCGGCTCTGCCCTGGCTCTTTACTCTGCCGGCTCTGTCCTGGCTCCCTACTCGGTCGGCTCTGCCCTGGCTCTCTACTCTGCCGGCTCTGCCCTGGCTCTTTACTCTGCCGGCTCTGTCCTGGCTCCCTACTCTGCCGGCTCTGCCCTGGCTCTTTACTATGCCGGCTCTGTCCTGGCTCCCTACTCGGTCGGCTCTGCCCTGGCTCTCTACTCTGCCGGCTCTGCCCTGGCTCTTTACTCTGCCGGCTCTGTCCTGGCTCCCTACTCTGCCGGCTCTGCCCTGGCTCTTTACTATGCCGGCTCTGTCCTGGCTCCCTACTCGGTCGGCTCTGCCCTGGCTCTCTACTCTGCCGGCTCTGCCCTGGCTCTTTACTCTGCCGGCTCTGTCCTGGCTCCCTACTCTGCTGGCTCTGCCCTGGCTCTCTACTCTGTCCGCTCTGCCCTGGCTCTCTACTCTGCCGGCTCTGCCCTGGCTCTCTACTCTGCCGGCTCTGTCCTGGCTCCCTACTCTGCCGGCTCTGCCCTGGCTCCCTACTCTGCCGGCTCTGCCCTGGCTCCCTACTCTGCCGGCTCTGCCCTGGCTTCCTACTCTGCCGGCTCTGTCCTGGCTCCCTACTCTGCCGCTCTGCATACTCTCCCTACTCTGCCGGCTCTGCCCTGGCTCCCTACTCTGCCGGCTCTGCCCTGACTCTCTACTCTGCCGGCTCTGCCCTGGCTCTCTACTCTGCCGACTCTGCCCTGGCTCCCTACTCTGCTGGCTCTGCCCTGGCTCCCTACTCTGCTGGCTCTGCCCTGGCTCCCTACTCTGCCCGAGTCCGTCCTTGCTCAGTGTTCCGCTGTGTTTATACGGGCCTTACTGTCCATCCCTCTCCCTGGTCCGCCTCCACTCCTCCACCCTCCTGGATTCTTGCTTTTTTATCAATATTATTATGGAGTGTTTGGAATCCATTTCTTTAAGGGGGTCTCTGTTATGTATTCCGAGTTTTGTGTATCTTGTGTTTTGTTATTTTGACTTTTAGGTTGCATTCTGCCCTGTTCTATTTCTGTTTCCTGTGCCACACATTGTAGTCCTTTGTAGTTTTCTTGATGATTAGTTCTTTGATTGTGTCCAGGTGTGTCTGGTTAGTCTATTACACTGTGTGTATATAAACCCCATTGTTTCCTTTTCTCATTGTCAGGTCTTGTCTTTCCCAGGCTGTTATGTTGGTGTGCTCAATTCTGTTTTATTTATCTGTTCCTGGAGTTTCCTAGTGTCTGTTACTTTGTTTCTTTTAAATCTTTAATAAACATTATTTGTCTCTGATTTTACCCCACGTCACATTAAGAAATCAGTTACAAACTAATTAAAATATTGAGTGCATTCCAGCCATGGCCGTATCCAGCTATGAGGTCACCGAGGTCCAGACCTCTGTATTTTTTCGATGTGTGTATAATTAAGCTTGTGATATGATTGCCTAATTTAGTATTAACTCTACTTTGGTGCTGCAAGGATATTGAAAATCGCATCTGAGCTGCTTCAGTGGTCTGTCACTGCTTGTCAATTTCAAAATATTTGAGATGACCAAACAAATCAAAGTGGGCTTTATGTTCACAGAAGCTGCTGAGCGCAAATTCCAGAGCAATGCAGTAAATGTTTGGAAATTGCTAGATAAGTTGTAAGTAGCTAAACTAAACATTTAATATTCGACAGCTGTTTTACGATAGAAATGTTAAACGACCGACAAGAACAAAATTAGCCAAACTAATGCCCTTTTGTCTAATTCATCATTTTGAATTGAAAATAGGCCTGTATTTTACTTGATTCATGTAATGTAATAATTAGTAACTGTCAATGTGAGGGGGTAAGAAACATTTACAAAGCTGTTTTCAAGATTAATAATGAATGTGTACATGTTGTGTGAATTCATTTAATAAACTTAGTTACCTAGCTTTCCTGGTAGCCTTAAGTAAATTAACTTGTCTAAGAAAATAATTTGTAAACATATAAATATTAGTTGGCTCCCTGTTTACTTTCTTCACTGACACAAACGAAAAGACTTTCAGTGACATGGTTAGAAAGCTTGTTATCCAATGGTTTTGGCCCTCAAACGTCTTGAAATGCACATATGTAGATCAGAGAACTCGAAATGTTCTTGGAACCCCCTGAACTAGCTCAGATGTGGGACCTCTGTGGTCAGAAACCCTATACGGCCCTAATTCAAGCCTTGCCACGTCACAAGGAGACATGCTGACATGATAACAGTGGCATAAAGTCATAGTTAAGATCCCAGAGTTGAGTAGCCTGAGTTCAGATTTGGAGAAATGGAGTTTACATCTTAGAGGAAGAACCCATGAAACATTTATTCTATGATTGTGTATTTATGCAGTTTTTATTGGATTGATATCGAATATCTAATATCACACAAAATTAAATATTCAGCTATCTGGTTAAGATATTTTTTATTATATAAAAATAAGAGTTTAAAAACTCAAAATTTGGTGATTAATTTAATAATTCTGTATGGAAAACACCATAAACACAAACAAAAATAGGCAAACAATAAACCTACCATCATATAATTTAAAACTAAACTAATGCATTATATTAAAAGTGGCAAGAAACAAAAATCAAAACGGACATATACAATTTCTGAATACTTTTCTCTTGTTAATTCTCTTAGTTATCCCCCACATGTTTTCCTCCCTCTTTTATGTTTCCTTTAAGCTATTATTGTAACTGTGATTATATTGTGATCATATTTGTATGTTATGTAAATGTAATTTTAAAAAGTTGAGTAGCCTGAGAGAAACTGTCTTCTACTTCTGGCCTTTAGGTGGAGACACGATCGGGTGAAGAGATAGACTAAAGACTGGGTCATGTTTCTGTGGTTATAATAAGAAGAAGGGAACGCGGTTCACTAAATGAACTAGTATGATCTGTTGTTTATCTTTATTGATCGGGATGCTGTTGTCCGCGCTCGCCCCCGCGCCCGCGCGCGCGCCCGGTATCGGAGAGCTGTCTTCTTCTCTCCCGCAGATCCTCCAGAGATGAGCGCAGATCCTGAACACCAGTTCCTCCACTGAAGAGCTCAGCTCCTGCACAGGTACACAGCCTTATTATCAGCGTTACCTGCTTATTATTGAGTGAGAGAGTCGAATTACAGTGCACTGCTACTTGTTGCTTCTTGCTTAATTTGAAATGGAATTGTTTTTCTAATAAAATAAAGCAAGTTGCATTTGGATGCAAAGATTAAATAATGTTATTGATTACACTAAAGTGTTATGACAGCTCAAAAAAACATTATAGACGCAAAAATATATAATTCAATTATTTGTAATAAATAAATAATACTATATCCAGCCGGTATTATGTAGCGTATTTCTTTTTTTCTATGTCAATAGATTTGAGTTGATTTGATCTAGACAGTTAAACATTAACCTGATATAAACAGCATTAATCTTTAACTGTTTATGTACAGTCAAACCAAAAATTATTCAGACACCAGATATAATTTATGATATGTTTTCACTAGTGTGATCAGGACAATATTCATTTATGTAAGTGAGGAGAGCAAAATAAAGTAAACTGTGATTATACCCAAAACCTCTTCATACAGAGACTACCAGTAACATTTATAACAATTCGGGACCAATAATGATTCCTCCACTTTGAGCTGATCATGTTTTGCTGAAGTGTGTTTTCTGTAATTGCTAATGCTCTTTTTACACACACACTGAACAACATGAAGCATTGCTTGGTCACTGGTTGAGCTAAACTGGTATTCTCTAATTGTGTAGTTAAATTTAACAGCTGACAGATATTCAACATAATTCATGTGTGAGAGTCTAACAGAAGGACGGACAAAACCAGTCAAATATCCACTGATCTGAGAACTCTGAGTTCTGCTCATATTTACTACCATTTTCTAAACTATAGCGAATAAACTGATAATGTGAGAAATGTTGAAGGAGTCTGAATAAAGACTCGATCTGATTAGTACTGGTGTGTGTGTGTGTGTGTGCGTGTGTGCGTGCGTGTGTGTGTGCGTGCATGTGCGTGCCTGTGCCTGTGCCTGCGTGTGCGTGTGTGTGTGCCTGTATGTGTGTGTGTGTGTGTGTGTGTGTGCCTGTATGTGTGTGTGTGTGTGTGTGTGTGTGTGTGTGTGTGTGTGTGTGTGTGTGTGTGTGTGTGTGTGTGTGTGTGTGTGTGTGTGTGTGTGTGTGTGTGTGTGTGTGTGTGTGTGTGTGTGTGTGTGTGTGGGCCTGCGTGTGCGTGTGTGTGTGCCTGTATGTGTGTGTGTGTGCAGGAGTGAACGATGGCCATTCATGTGGACGGGCTGCTGGCCATCATCATCTTCTATCTGCTGATCCTGGCGGTCGGGATCTGGGCGGCGTGGAAGAACAAGAACTCCGGGATCTCAGCGGGAACGGACCGCAGCGAGTCCATCATGGTCGGAGGAAGAGACATCGGCCTGTTCGTGGGAGGATTCACCATGACCGGTGAGGGTTCCTCTGACCTTTCACCCTAACCCCAACATCTTCATCACTTTACAGCTGTTATAGAGCTGAACACTGTACAAAGTCATCAGTTCACTTACTTAACTTAAAAACATTTAGAAAACCCGTTGCCCTAAAATGATAAATAAAAGTAAATAAACTTCATACTTAATCTAAAAACATTAAGTAATGTGGAATTGTCAAGTTCACATAACTTAATTTTTCATTTAAAGGCAGTTTGTTTCTAAAACACTTTTTCCCAAATTTGTTTAAACTGCCTTTATTTACCAATACATATCTAAAATGTAAGTACTCTGAAAAGGAGAGTATCAAAGCTGCAGTAAACACAGCTACTCTCTCCATTCGAAACGAATGCACTGATGGGGGGGTTTCTGCTAGTTTCTCAAACTCACCCACCCTGCCTTTAAGCATGAAGTTTATTTACTTAATCATTTTAAGGCAACGGGGAAAATACAAATTTTTTTAAGTAAGTGAACTGAACACTTTTTACAGTGAATTTTCCTGCGAATATGATGAAGGAGTGTTTTACACAATAATACAGAAACAGCGCTGAGATACACAACTGCTGATTTATGACATCATGCACAGTGTTTGGTAATAAAAGGGAAGTTGTTGAATTAGTTTCTTAAAATTGGTTCTTATTTGAATCTTTTGTTTTAAAGGGGTTAATTGTTTCTTCTTAGAAATTGTAATTAAAGTCTTTATGTATTATGCATTATATTCATAATGTACACTATAATGCATTATATCTGTTCATAAATAATTCTGGCCAAAGGTAAAATGCATTATAACATCTGCACTTTCTGAAATTGGTTGTTTGTCGTGTTTTAATGCCTTATATTTTCTAAAGGTGTGATAGTGATTGGATGAGTATTATTATGTATTATAACTGTGGTTATAGATGTTCATACAGTGCATTATAAGCTGCAGAATTACTGCATTACATAAAGGCTATAAGGACGGTGTTACTGAGATTGTTAATTATTCTCTCTTTCTTTCTTTCTCTCTCCTAAATATGCTAATTAGAACTGAAAGTATTCAAGAAAGTCATTAACTTGTTCTGTTTGGTTAATTGGCATATTAAAAATGAATGAAATAATCAAGGAATTTCTATAGTGTGTGTAGAGTTATAGTGTGTGTAGAGCTGCACACACACACACACACACACACACACACACACTCACACTCACACTCACTGACAGTGTGAATGTGTGTGTGTGTGTGTGTGTGTGTGTGTGTGTGTGTGTGTGTGTGTGTGTGTGTGTGTGTGTGTGTGTGTGTGTGTGTGTGTGTGTGTGTGTGTGTGTGTGTGATGACCGTGTGTGTGTTGATGACCGTGTGTGTGTGTGTGTGTGTGTGTGTGTGTGTGTGTGTGTGTGTTGATGACCGTGTGTGTGTTGATGACCGTGCGTGTGTGTGTGTGTTGATGACGTGTCTCTGTCTGCAGCCACATGGGTGGGCGGCGGCTACATCAACGGGACAGCGGAGTCTGTGTATCTGCCCGGCTCCGGCTTGGCTTGGGCTCAGGCTCCGTTCGGATACGCGCTCAGTCTGGTCGTGGGTGAGACGCCTTTACACTGATCAGTCCATCATAATTCAGCATTTAAAAGTGTATTACCACATTCAGCACTTTACTGTAATGAAAACGAGATGTTTGTGTCTGTGAGCTTTGAGCTCAGATACAAGCTTCTGTAAAACACAAAAGAATACATCTTGTCAGGCCAGTTTTCAGAGCCACTCTCCAGCATATGAGCTCTGGTTCTGGCTGTGAGCTGCTCTCTCTCTCTCTCTCTCTCTCTCTCTCTCTCTCTCTCTCTCTCTCTCTCTCTCTCTCTCTCTCTCTCTCTCTCGCTCTCTCTCTCTCTCTCTCTCTCTCTCTCAGGCGGGCTGTTCTTCGCCAAGCCCATGCGCTCCCGAGGATACGTGACCATGCTGGACCCGTTCCAGCAGCTCTATGGGAAGAGGATGGGCGGCCTGCTCTTCATCCCTGCGTTACTGGGAGAGATGTTCTGGTCAGCGGCCATCCTGTCAGCGCTGGGTGAGCGCACACACACATACACACACACACAGGTGAAGCTCCAGCCTCCATCAGTCTTCAGTGTGTCTCACCCTCGTCCTCTGCACAGGGGCGACGCTCAGCGTGATCGTGGACATCAACATCAACGTGTCTGTGGTGATCTCGGCGCTGATCGCGGTCTTCTACACGCTGGTCGGAGGACTGTACTCTGTGGCCTACACTGATGTTGTCCAGCTCTTCTGCATTTTTCTGGGTTTGGTGAGTCTTCTCTACAAACTTATAACGTCTCGGTTACGTATGAAACCCTAGTTCCCCGAAGAGGGAACGAAACGCTGCGTCAAAATGCTGGGGGAACGCCCCTGAGTGATTGCATCATGAAGCACGTATGGAATCAGTCCAGTGGTGTGACGAGATGTCATAGGCGGGTGACGTCATCGACCAGGAAACTATAAAGTACACCTGAACCAAATATCGTCAGCTTCTGATAGGCAAGTCAATCACAGGCATGCAGGGAGTATGGCAGCGTCTCGTTCGCTCTTCAGGGAACCAGTGTTACATACGTAACCGAGACGTTCCCTTTCAAGGGAACTCGAGCTGCGTCGAGACGCTGTGGGAACACTATACCCACTCCGCCATAATAACCAATGCCTGTGTGTGTTAAATTTGTGCGCACATTCGGACGAAAGCACCTGCGCCCCTGGAATGGAGCAAAAGTCAAGATCATAAAACCTCACGAATGTGTGCAGTGAAGACCAGCCTACCGTATCATATACATCCTGGAGGGAAACTCCTGACAATAAAGCTTTAGAAGCAGTCATAGTCCTAGTGGAGTGAGCTCATACAGCCAAAGGCGAAGGCTGACCAGCTGACTCATAAGAAACTGAGATATCCTCGACCACCCACTTGCCCATTCTCTGCTTAGATGCAGGGTACCCTTTCCTGGGTGACCCAAAGCAAATGAACAACTGTTCAGACTTCAACCACAGGGCAGCTCTGTGGACATAAGCATCTAGTGCCCTCACCGGGCAGAGCAGATTTAGCTTCTCTTGGTCTGACGTCAAAAAAGGAGGAGGACAGAAAGCCTGCAGTTCCATTGGTCTAACAATATTAGTAGGGACCATGGGAACATAGCCCGCCCTCAGGTGACGAAAGGCCTTCACCATACCAGGCGAACATTCCAGGCACAAGGGAAATCCCGAAAGTGCTTGAATGGCTCCAATCCTCTTGAGAGACGAATTTGCAAGGAGAAAGATGGTCTTAAGAGTGAAAAACTTCTCAGCAACTTCCTCAATGGGCTCGAACGGAGCTAGAGAGAGGCCTACTAAAACAATAGCCAAATCCCAAGTCGGTACCCTCGTGCGGACTGCTGGCCTCAGCCTCAAAGTGCCACGAAGGAAACGAGTTATTACTGGGTGTCTCCCCAAAGATCCCCCACTCAAAGGGACGTGGTAAGCAGCTAAGGCCACCACGTACACCTTCAGTGTGGAGGGGGATAACCCTGCGGAGAGGCGCTCCTGCAGGAACTCCAGCACTGCACCCAGCGGGCAGCTAACCGGGTCCCGCTGGTGCTCTCTGCACCAGGAAGTGAATAATCTCCACTTCAAGGCGTAGAGTTTCCTCGTGGAGGGACCTCTGGAGTGGAGGATGGTCTCAACAACCTCAGTTGGAAGACCTTAACTTATGAGCTGGGCCCCTACTGTTTGTACTGTATTTCTTTCAATTATTCTTATTTCTTTTGATTATTTTAATTTCTTTTATGTAAAGCACTTAGAATTACCATTGTGTATGGAATGTGCTATATAAATAGACTTGTCTTGTCTTGCCTTGCCTTGCCTTGCCTTGCCTTGCCTTGCCTTTAGAGGCTAGGCCCACAGCTTCCACAGTTCTGGGCGGGCGTGAAGGATCGACCCACTCGCCAGTGAGAGTAGGTCCCCCCTGATCGGAATCTCCAGAGGAGAGCCATTGAGGAGAGACACTAGGTCCGAGAACCATACTCTGGCCGGCCAGAACGGGGCTACTAGCCGTAGACTGACCGGCGAACTCTCTCCAGAACTCCTGGGAGCAGAGCAATCGGGGGAAATGTTTACAGACGTGACCTCTGCCACATCTGTACCATAGCGTCCAGCCCCAGAGGGGCTGCGTGGCTGAGAGGGAACCACTGTGGATAATGTGTCGTCTCTTGGGATGCTAATAGGTCTACTTCCGCTCGACTGAAGTTCTCCCATAGCAGCTCCACCACATCAGGGTGAAGTCTCCATTCCCAGGCCTCGGCCCCTGCCTCAACAGGATGATCTAAATACCCAGGGATGTAAAATGCCTTTCGAGAGAGCAACTTCCCTTGGGTCCACAGGAGGATCTGGTGAGCCACTTGTATATGGGGCGCGACCGCAGACCCACCTGATGGTTTATATTTGAGACCCCCGATGTGTTGTCTGAACGAACAAGCACATGATGGCCCTTCAGGTCTGGGAGGAAGTGTTTTAGAGCCTGGAACACCGCCAACATTTCTAGACAATTTAAATGCCACGAGAGATGATGGTCCACAGACCCTGAGCTGGGCATCCACTCATGATCGCCTCCCAACCCGTGAGAGATCATCCGTCGTTAGCGTGACCCCGAGCCACGGGTAACGCGAGCCGAACCGCCCTCCTCGAAGAGTGATCGGCGGGAGCGCAGCGTTCTCAATGACAGCCGCTCACAATGCTCACATTCAACTCCCTCGAGAGCTGACTGGGCATGCTGCATTCCCAAGCACACAACACATATTTGGTGTGTATCCCCACCCGTGAGATAACGAGTGCAAGGATGAACAAACTTCCTAAAATGCTGTTCGCTCGCCATTATATTGTTTTTTCTTTTATAATAAATATATATGGTGAAAAACTCCTGCTTAGCAACTTCTGAGGACAAGCAAAAACACCAGAGTCAATGATTCACACACAGAGCGCTTGCTGAAGACACAGAAGCTGATGCTGTTTGGTTCAGGTGTGCTTTATAGTTTCCTGGTCGATGACGTCACCCGCCATTGAGTCTCTAGTCGTTTTTGCTTGTTTCGTCCCCACAGTGAAAGTAATGTAAATGTATGAAGTTTCTGAATTAAACGCACAGTGAAATCAGTTCATGCGGTCTAATGTGTTGCTGGATTATGGGATTATTGTAAGACCTTGATAAAAATAATATAGAGCTGTACATTTTATAAAGACAGAGGAATAAATCTTATTTGCTCAAGATGATTCCTAAATATTTTCATTTTCTGTGGTTATCAACAGTTTTTATTAATAATGTATCTTTTATCGTCATTCTAGATGCACTTATGCTTTAAACTACCAAAGGAATTAAATTCCTTTAATTCTTCAAATTTCAAAGGGTCTTCCATCAGCAAAACAGCAGTAGCAAACATGAATTTACCATGAACTATTGATTCAGCTTGTGCTTTTTGTCTTTTTATATAACAAAATAATAGAGCAACTGGGCGGATGGGTTTGTTATTAGAGTATGAAATAATCTGCACCATGATTTCATGGCATGCCACTCCATCTTTAATAAGCCACAGTATTGATGTTAATCTAGTGGGGTTGATGATCATTGAGAGAGTGATATCCCTGACGGTGTGTGAATGTGTGTATCCAGTGGATCAGCGTGCCGTTCGCTCTGTCCAGTCCTGCCGTGTCGGACATCGGAGTGACGGCCGTCACCGCAGTGTTTCAGCCTCCGTGGCTCGGAGAGATCGACCCGTCCGACGGCTGGATATGGGCCGATAACTTCTGCCTTCTCGTAAGTCTGTGCGCTAACTCATGCTTCTCAGTGATGGGTTTACATCAGCGCATGAGACATAAGAGTAGGGCTTATTTTAATGACTATATTGCATGGAAAATGCACACGCACACACACGCACACACGATCATCAACACACATACACACACACACACACACTCACACTGACAATCATCACACACACACACACACACACACTCTCACTGACAAAATCTTCAACACACACACACACACACATACACACACTTACACACTCACTAACACAATCATCAACACACACTTACACACACACACACTGACACAATCATCAACACGCACACACACTTGCATCTTCCTGCATTTTGTCATTCTTTTGCCAGTTTCCACAACCGCTCCACACTGACTGAGGCCATCTAACACTGATAGTGCTGAATCATATCCCGTAGTCTATTGGTATCTGTGTAGGGTTAGTGGAGTCTGATTGATGACGACCCGATCCTGCTGCTGTTTCAGTGTGTGTGTGTGTGTGTGTGTGTGTGTGTGCAGATGCTGGGCGGGATCCCGTGGCAGGTGTATTTCCAGCGGGTTCTCTCGGCCTCCTCTGCTAGTTATGCTCAAGTCCTGTCGTTCCTGGCCGCTTTCGGCTGTCTCGTCATGGCCATCCCGTCCGTCCTGATCGGGGCCATCGGGGCCTCCACAGGTAGAAACCTTCCCTCTCTCTCTTCAAACCAACACGGAAGTGCCTTAACCTGCAGTTCCTCCTCTGGCCACTAGAGGCCGGCTGCAGAAGAGACTCAATCCCATAGACCCGCATGTTAAAATGCCCAACTTTACAGCAGAAAAACCAAGGGGGTAATCCATCGACCGGAAGTTGAAGCCGGCCGGGCACCGCCATCTTGTAGCAGAACTTCACTTGCGTTAGCATTTCCATTGACTCCCATTCATTTTGGCGTCACTTTGACAGCGAATAACTTTACATCTGAGGCGTTTAAAGACTCCATTTGTCCATTATTTATTTCTAAAGAAACACGACAATGTATAAAGGGCTCCATTACCTTCTATGTTACATTATGGCCCCGTAGAAACAGATTTTGTAAAAATAGGCTAACGATTGCGTCATAACCACTCGACTCTCTGTCGCGCTGTACAGAAGTTACCGTACAGACAGGAGGAGAAGCTCGCAGGCGATCGGGGGGACGTCCCGTCAAGGGAGTAGATAATGAGTCCATAAAAGCAACGGAATACTTACTCCTGCTCACTCACGCCAAAGAACTCTTTGCTCAAGTTCCCCATCTCTGCAAGATTAACGTTGGCAATTTCCACGCACAGCTACTAGAAGATTAACGTCTGTCAGACAGGTTGCTCACGTCATCAAGCTTAGTTTGAGTCGGTTTGAGTCTGCGCGTCAGGAACGGAAGTGCCCAAAAATCGCTAAAAATGGGCTTCAACTGTCTCAACTGAGTTCCAATGAGATGGCTCTGTCCATTTCTTATACTGTCTATGAGAAAAACACGTTTACAGCCTGGTGCGTAAAGTGGTTTTGGTCTATATAGCTAATTCTGCCCTTCATGATGACTGTGGGGGGGTATTTTTAACACTCATCCGTTTAATATTACATATTACTCCTTAAATTTCTGCATAATTGAGTGACAGGTGGATTGCCGCTGATGTCACTACTAGCCGCTTGTCTGCTAGTGTTAAGGCTTTATGCTTCTGCGTCGGACCTACGCCGGAGCCTCTACGCTATAGACTATGTTGTCCGCGTTGATGCGCATTTACACGTGCAGAGGGAGCGTGTGAAACCCGAGGGAGCGGTTCTGAAAGGCCAATCACAGCGCTTGCAACCGCGTAAAATTGACGCGTTGTTACATTTTTGGAGAGGTGCGCGTCAGGGTACGCCGAAGGGTACGCGCGCTACACACAGCCTACGCCGTAGCTCCCGCGGGAGGTCGACAGAAGTATAAATTGGGCTTTAGCGTCAGATCACCTCAGATAATCTACGCCCAGTGCTTTGCACAGTCTCTGGCAGAAAGGCGTCCTACAGCAGCTCTGAGATCAGGGATTGACGGGCTGCTGATTCCAGATGTTCCAGGAGTTTCTCTGAATCTACGGGGACTTCATTAATGTTGTTGATCGCAGAGTCTCAGTTAATCAGCAGATGTTTACTGAATGAAGACTGATTCACAAAGGGCATTACATCTTGTACAGCTAAATGAGGCATAGCATGTTTATTTTTTACTATAGATTATATTGCATACAGTAATATATAATTAAAGGAGTAGTTCACTTCAGAATTAACATTGCCTGATAATTTTCTCTCCTCCACGGCATCCAAGATGTTCATGTCTTTCTTTCTTCAGTGGAAAAGAAATTAAAGTTTTTGAGGAACACGTTCCAGGGTTTCTCCATATAGTGACTTCAATGGGGTCCAACGGGTCGAAGGTCCAGATGTGAGTTTCAGTCAAAGTCCTTTTAGGCAAGTCATGCCACTCGGCCACCATCTTGGCAACGCCTCCGGGCAGCTATTTCGGACTAACAAGACCAGGCTCCTATCTAAATGAATGGGCAGAGACCCAGAACTGCACTTTCACTGGTCACCGGGACATAAAAACTGCATGTATACAAACACTAATAAAATATGATAAAAATCGCTGAAAAAGTGTGATGACTTTGCCCCAAAATAAGGTTTAAAACGCCTTTTTCCCCACAGGTTATACTTTTACTGCGCATGCGCAAGGGTTCTCTCGCTCTCTGTCGTGCGCGCGCTACTGCTCGCTCGCTCTAGATTCCGGGAGATTTGAACTAATTTGCGGTCATCAGGGAGCCGCTATCAATCTGTGGGAGACTCCCGGAACTTCCGGGAGACTTGGGAGGTCTGATATTTACACAACTAACACATCAAATCTGCCGCCTTTTCAAACAGTAACATATTTTCCGCTGTCGCAAACCTCAACTGTGTGCATGCGTCGGTGGAACCAGACGATAGGCTTAAATGTTTTCCGGCTTGACTGTTAAAAGCAGACGATTGGCTTTCCAGCTGGAGGGGCGGGGCATGTGCATACAACCGCCATCTTTGGCGTTACGGGTTTTCCCTATATAGTTGTATTAAGGATTGGGGAAGTGGCATGTCTCTATATAAATAGTCTCTGGTTTCAGTGCAGCTTCAGAGTCTCGACACGATCCAGCCGAGGAATAAGAGTCTGATCTAGACAAACCAGCCGACATTTATAACAAAATACACATTTATATACTTATATCCACTAATGCTGGTCTTGCTCTAGCTGTGATGGTAAATGGTAAATGGACTGCATTTATATAGCGCTTTCACAGACCCAATGGCCACCAAAGCGCTTTACATATTCCCTCACATTCACCCACTCATTCATACACCGATGGCGGTGTCAGCCATGCAAGGCGCCATCCAGCTCGTCGGGAGCAGCTGGGGTTAGGTGTCATGCTCATGGACACCTGGTGATGCGACACACATTACATAATCAGGGTGAAAGGTCAAGGTTTCTCCACTCCTTTTCTTGATTTATGTTATTTTATTGTAAAGCACTTTGGAATCAACTTCGGTTGTGTTAAACTTGTGCTCTATAAATAAAACTTGACTTGACTTGACTCTACTTCTACTGTGTGTGTGTGTCATCAGACTGGAACCAGACGTCGTACGGGCCGGTTCCTCCGGTGGAGAAGGACGAGTCGGACATGATTCTGCCCATCGTGCTCCAGCACCTCTGCCCGCCCGCCGTCTCTTTCTTCGGTCTGGGCGCCGTCTCCGCCGCCGTCATGTCCTCCGCCGACTCCTCCATCCTCTCCGCCAGCTCCATGTTCGCCCGCAACATCTACCAGCTCGCTTTCCGGCAGTCCGTGAGTTCCTAATGCCATTAGTCCACTTATGGGTCTCATTACTGTACAAGCAATGTTAAACAAAACCAAAATGTATTCTGTATATATGAACATTATTAGTAGAAACTGAATAGCTGAGTGACCACAAAATACATAAAAAATGTGAACCTGATGTGGGATGTGTTGTACATTAAATGGATGCCAATGTTTTGATGTATAAAGGTGTTTGTTGGGTTGTACCTTTCTGAATAGGGGGTAAGGTTTAAGATGATTATGTGGCAGCTTTACAGAAATGCTTCAGTTTCTTAAAGCCCTTGTTTAGAAGCTTTCCAGGAAAACATGCATGACAAAGACTGTGGTGAAGAAAACGGAGAGAAAAAGCCTGTAGAGAGAGAGAGAAAACGAGACCACGATTGTCTTTAGATCTGCCAGTTCTTCATGTTGTGCCAGTGACATTTGTTTTGTCTGATCAAATGCGTACAAATCCTAAATCATATTGTAGATTATGATGGCAGGATTTGAAGTGCTTCAATTTGTCACTCGCAAAACAGTGGAACTGTTGTGTTTGCAATGCTTTTACTTCCACTGAGGGAAACTGTGTGTTTAAGGTGCACTCAGTGTGTGTTTGCTAAAGAAAATCAATCATCGAATTACGTGCGATAAGGACTTTACACATATCAGTCTTCAAGAAACAAATGTTTCATTCACAACTTGTATGAGCGTAAATACAGAAGTCACATGACCTCAACATCAGCATCACTAAGCCTTCATAACTCTTTCAGTCTTCACTTGTCAACAATGGAGCCAGACCTGGATGTTCAGATAGGTCACAACATTAAAGCAGCACTAAGTAGGAATTCCGCTTTTGTCAAACAGCGACCCCTAGAGTCGCTGTGGAGTACTTGTACTGTCGTGAATAGCACTCACGCAGAGATGGCTCGCACTCACGGCCGGATCCCCTCCCCCTGTACACCAGTACCTGTTCAGTAGGATGGACGCTGTAACGAGTGGAAATAAGGTGTGGCCCCTTTAAGAGCTGCGCGCGCCCTGTTTAAAGGGTCACTCCACCCATTTGCATTAAGAGGTCCATTGTTAGACAACCAGTCATACTATTGAATGGTCGTGCAACATTCTTTCATTTTCCCCTGAGACGAGAGAAATCTACTATTTACCTTTTTCACTTCCTCCTACAATGACGCAAAAATCGTCATTTGACGTCATTGTAGGAGGAAGTGTAAAAAGGGGGGATTTCTGTATAGACTACAAGCACAAATTCCCACCCTTTCAAACCCGCCCATAGGGGGTTGTGCCTAATGCGCTAACAGAGCTATTACAGATCAGTGGGTGGGACTTCACTTGCAGATACTGAAAGCAATATCAGCCATCTTGTTTATAAGCTAAGCTAACAAGCGCTGTGGATATAGGAAGTTACGACAATGACGGAAGAAACTAAACATGATATGGAAGAAGAGGATTTTGAAATTCTGCTGCTCGAATCCGCTGTTCGTGGCTATCTTTACGAGCCCCAATATAGTGAAGAGCAGCTGAGGCTGATGGAGAACCAGGAGGCGGCTGCCTGTCGCGGACGAGGAGCCCGGACTGGCTCGAGCTGGGCGGACTGCTGGTGCCTGTGCTCTCGCTGTGCGCTACGGACACAGATAGAGTCCGTCTGCTGCAGAGAATTTCAACAAGGCAGTTTCTCCTGGACGAAATCTCTGAATCAGACGACCACACGGACGTTTGTGTTGTGATGTGAACCATCCTAGTTTCGCCTGACTGAACATGCAGGTATCATGCAATAATTCACCATATAGAAAGAAATACAAACGAGTAATTCACTAATGAGTTTGCCAATGTAACGGGGTTCGTTGTTGTGGGAAGAAGGAGGCTGGAACCGGCGAACATTTAAACGTTTTAATAGTAAAATAAACAAATACAAAACAAAAGTATAAGCCAGCTGGCCACACACAACAGAAACAAAACATAAAATCAGGCCTGTTCCTTTTGTGCTTCCGCTCCTCCGTGAGAGATATGAGACCGCTGCACAGGTGCCATTCATTATCACTCGCGTCATCCTCTCACGTCCCTCGCCCTCGTCCTGCTCGCCACAACTAACTAGACATTTTTTGTGAAATGAATTTTAAACTCATTTGGCAGCTAGCCTTCTTGTAGACGGAAGAGCGATTTCTCTGATGTTTGCGCTGTTCTGGATTAGTGGGAGTGGCTTGCGGAGCTGTGCAACATGGTGCATTGTGGGAGTTGTTGTCTTACATACAAATGCGCCCCAAAGTTATTTTCTGTCTTTTCTCGGTCAAGAGGGCACCAAATTTAAAATTTCTTTTACATTTCGACTACATATATAACCCACTTTCAATAAAGATTAATGTTGAAATGGGTGGAGTGACCCTTTAACTGTCGGCAGTCTGTATTGTATGCGCGCCCAACACCACATGTATACGGCGCCGGGTAATTTCAGTTTGATGCTTATTTTATCAGAATTTTATCAGATCTGTTTTTTGCCGTAAAGCAATTCGTTACCTCGCGAGACCTGATGTCACACGATACTTCCTAACACTGAGGCCGGCGGCTCGCCGGCCCAAAGTTGCAAGGGTGGTTTTGCGGCTCACAGGCACCAGGGGGGTGCGAGACGACCACCATTCAACACGAAATCAGTAATATAAACATTACAATGGCTCCAAATCTGTTCGGATAAGGTAAAAAAGTTACTTAGTTCACCTTTAACCAATATTATAAAACGGTTAATTCCTGTCCTTGATTCTGATTGGTCGATAGCTGTGTTTTATTCACGATAAACCGCTTCATCCTACGGTTCTATGTATCACTACTCAACACCCCTAGCAACCACTCTTAGCAACGTAAACATATGTTTGTTCTCATTGATATTGTTCACTGAAACTTACATGGAGTATTGTGAGAGATCGAGTGAGCGAGTGTTCCTGCATTTACAGTAGATATAGCATCTTCCTTCAGGTCAGTCCTATATTCGTAATAAAATATCCATTTGGATGTCCACCGTCATATCTTGTCCTTTTAAAAGTTAAGGGGATTTCCCGTGACACGTTAGTCATTTATCAGTTGCGTCTTGCTTCTCCTTGTTCACAAGTTTCAGTTCTTTCAATATAAAGTCTTCTCTACTGACTGACTCACTCATAAAGACAGTCTTTGCCGCCATCTAATGGAGAAATTATGTACTTTCTGTTGCTTTTCACGATCAGGGTGGGACTATTTTTTCCAGTGGAAGAAAGGCTTTTAGTGATTTTACTTGATGAAAGTTGCATTGATACATATTTTTTGGCTTTAATATTTGTGTTGGGGATTGACCATATTATATAAAGCAATAAGGTACTCGAGACTGTGGTGTACGGTGAATAACTCACTGCTGACTCCGCTTCGTGTCGTGCCTAACAACGCCCTTCAGCCGGGACTTATTCACCGTACAGCACAGCCTCGAGTACCTTATTGCTTACGGATAATGTGCACTGATGAGTCGTTGCCAGTAACGGCACGAGCGCAGTGAACGGGTCCGCCCTGACGTCATGTCTTGTGTGTGCGTGTCTCCGGCAGGCGTCGGACCGAGAGATCGTGTGGGTGATGCGGATCACCATCTTCGTGTTCGGAGCGCTGGCCACGGCCATGGCCCTGCTGACGGGCTCCGTGTACGGCCTGTGGTACCTGAGCTCGGACCTGGTGTACGTCATCATCTTCCCTCAGCTGCTCTGCGTGCTGTTCGTCAAGGGCACCAACACCTACGGGTCGGTGGCGGGGTACGTGTTCGGGCTCCTGCTGCGGGTCGGCGGAGGCGAGCCGTACCTCCGGCTGCCTCCCTTCATCTACTATCCCGGCTGGCGGCCGCGGGAGAAGCAGCACCGCCTGACGCTGGAGGTGGAGCGCTACGTGGAGCAGAGGTTCCCCTACAAGACCGTCTCCATGCTCGCCTCGCTTCTGAGCAACGCCGCCTTCTCCTATCTGGCCAAATACCTGTTCGAAAGCGGCACTCTCTCGCCCAAGTACGACTTCCTGGACGCAGTGCTTTCCAAACACAGCAAGGAGACGATGGACAAGACGACGCTCGTCACGCACGACAACATCGTCCTGTCAGAGCTGGCTGCGGTGAAGCCCAGGCACGGAAGCTCTCTAGCGGGAACGTTCGTGAACACAGACGTGCTGACGGACGAGGACACCGTCAGCCCAGACCCCGACACCCGGCACCAGCAGAGACACTGCTGAAGACGACGGCAGCGAGGACACAAGAGGGAACACTGGGCGAAACTAGTTGGACATTTATCATAAGGTGACGTGACCTTTTGTGAAACAAGCTTACGTTTATTCACTTTTTTCTGCTTAGAATACAACTGTTATAGAACACCATGATTTCAAAGGCGTCGGCTACTGTATGTGCTCTAGATCCTCATGTCTCGTATTAGTGTACAGTGAAAGCAGTCAGTGGCTGTCAAGCTCCAAAGATGACAGAAAAGTGTGCGCACTATATTCCAATTCCAATATTAGCTGTCTTAAAGTGGCCCTAGTATGCTTTTTGGGATATTCCCTTTCATGTAGTGTTTAATACAGCTGTTTGTGAATGTAAAAGATCCACAAAGTTTCAAAGATAAATAGAGTTTTCATCTCCTAAAAGAAAAAAGTGATTCTGAACTGAAACGAGTCGTCAGTAATTCAGTCTCACTTCCTGCTGAACCTGTAGATGTGTACCTAATTTGCATAATGCCCATCTGTGGTCTTGATAGGCTGAACAGCGTCTCTTAGCTCCGCCCTCAAACACTGTTGTGTATCTGCGACTGGAAGAGGTTGGTTCTTGTTGTTCGTGTCGAGAAGACGCTGTTTTCTGCTGACAAAGCAAATCCACTTTGATGAGATTGTAAAACCCACGTCATCGTTACTGTTCGTATCACTGTGATCAAGAGCTGAGATTCAGATATGATAATGAGTGTTTGCTTTCTGACCAATCACAGCGGAGCAGCTCTCAGAGAGGCGGGGCTTAGAGAGACTGAATCTTCAATCGAAGCGTTTCAGACACTGAGAGGAAAGAGCTGAAGCTGCAGTGGAGATTGAGGACATTACAGTGTTTCTGACCAATCACAGCAGAGCAGCTCTCAGAGAGGCGGGGCTTAGAGAGACTGAATCTTCACAGAAGCGTTTCAGACACTGAGAGGAAAGAGCTGAAGCTGCAGTGGAGATCATGAGGACATTACAGTGTTTCTGACCAATCACAGCAGAGCAGCTCTCAGAGAGGCGGAGCTTAGAGACTGAATCTTCACAGAAGCGTTTCAGACACTGAGAGGAAAGAGCTGAAGCTGCAGTGGAGATCATGAGGACATTACAGTGTTTCTGACCAATCACAGCAGAGCAGCTCTCAGAGAGGCGGGGCTTAGAGAGACTGAATCTTCACAGAAGCGTTTCAGACACTGAGAGGAAAGAGCTGAAGCTGCAGTGGAGATCATGAGGACATTACAGTGTTTCTGACCAATCACAGCAGAGCAGCTCTCAGAGAGGCGGGGCTTAGAGAGACTGAATCTTCACAGAAGCGTTTCAGACACTGAGAGGAAAGAGCTGAAGCTGCAGTGGAGATCATGAGGACATTACAGTGTTTCTGACCAATCACAGCAGAGCAGCTCTCAGAGAGGCGGGGCTTAGAGAGACTGAATCTTCACAGAAGCGTTTCAGACACTGAGAGGAAAGAGCTGAAGCTGCAGTGGAGATCATGAGGACATTACAGTGTTTTTGATCTTGTTGTAGGAAACTCTGAAACAAAATCAGAGGCCTTTACAGTAGCATAATGGGGCAGTTTAACTACTATACACTTACATAATAAAACTAAGCAGTTGATCCACTCTTCTTATTTATTATTATCTTTTTAAAGTCACAAAGCCATATTCAAACTTGCTGCATAAAGATATTGCAAGACTTTACTACTAATCTTGTTTTATTACATTTTTGGAGCTTGACAGCGTCTGTCCCTATGAACTTTCATTGCATTAAAAGAGTTGAACACTGTTTCATGAAAGAGCTGGACTTGAGGGTGAGTAAATGATGACAGCATTTTCAAATATTCCTAAAACGTTGGGTATGTATTATTGATATTTTTCGTCAGTTATTTTGGCTGTTGGTCATTAGATGCAGGTCATGTGTGTGTGTGAATTCCCTCCGTCTCTATTCATTAATTCCAAGGCAGCAGCAACGGTACCACCTCATTTCTGAGAAATATGTAATATGTAGCTTATATTGATAAAGTCACAGTGGCAGTATATATATGTATATATATATGTATGTGGAGTAATCTGCCAGCAGGGCACACGCGGATGGGTCGTCTCGCTGTGATCTGTCAGACATTGAGCTTGATTTAGTCTCCAGTGTTGCTGAAGCTGCAGTGATCTGGATTTCCTCTATGAATATTAGAGAATGATGGATTAGTAAGCTTGGATCTACACTAAAACATGTTTGGGAATTACAGGTAAAGCCTGGCGAGACTGGCTCAGGTGATTAGTTTCAATAAACCTTAAGGCAATGTCAGCCCAGTAACACATAGCTAGGTTATATATAACTATATATAATATATTTTGTGTGAATTCAATCAGCAACCCCGTCATATAGGCTATAGCTCTTTGGTTGGGACAGATGTTTAATACATTTGGCTGTGATATGTAGAAACTGAGCACATTGGCATACACTGGCCTGTACGTGTGTGTGTGTGTGTGTGTGTGTGTGTGTGTGTGTGTGTGTGTGTGTGTGTGTGTGCGTCAGTGTCAAGCAATGGTCGTCCCACGGGTCTACTTCCGACTGATAACTCTATAGCCAGAGGGATTGCAGGGCAGCGATAGACTAATGTTCAATTACTGAGACTCGTTCACATTTGCATTAGGATTCACGCGTTAGGCTGAGGGGAATTTTCTGGGGTTTTGCTGAAGTCCAAATGCAAAGGTGCAGGAAACCTTTTTCTTCTTCTTCTTTTGGCGAGAACAGTGTTTTCTCGGCTGGTCCTCGAGCTCTCTGCTGTATGGAGGCTTGCGTCATTCATCATGTGAACTCGTGGCAGCATTTAATAACACTACATGTGTGTAATCTGTGTAAAAATTCACCCTGAGGCAAAGAGGTCATTCTCGCTCTTAAGAGAGTATACATACAAGATAACAATAGCAGAGTTGATAGAAACATGCAATTTTCTTTAGTTGAATTGCAAAAAAAAAACATGCACATCAAATGTGAACCAAACGATGTAAAGCTCTTTCTGTAATGTCTAATCAATGTTCTCATCTAAAATAATATCGTTGAGTCTTCGTTTAGGGGCTGAACTCAATGGCAGATCGATATAATTAATTCTACTTAAGTCAATATATTGACTACTTTAGAAAATAGAAATAGAGTATTTTGTCCTTTGGATGGTGTTGTGGGATACTGTGTGTGTTCAGGTGTGTTGAAGTCGCCTCGATGTCTTTATTTGGCAGCCTAACCTGAGACCATGCCATGCCTCTGTATCTGTGTAGCCCTGACTGTGAGTGTAATATTCTGTAGATGATATCACACAATCAGCAGCTTTAGGAAATAGAAGTGAAACAGAAAAAGTGCTTTAATGAAAATGCTGTTTGTCTCTTTGGTCTTTATAGTACAGTGTATCGTTGGAGAAACTAATGGTGTGTAAATCCTACAAATTTAACCTTCAATTACACATTACTAGTTCCTTTTTTATTCTATAATTTTACTTTAATTACATGTAAGATTCTCGCACGCATTCTGAATGAAAGGCTAAGAGGATAAACAGCACTTTTGTGTGTGTGTGTGTGTGTGTGTGTGTGTACGTGCAAGTATGAGATATTTGCAGGACAGCTGCGTACGAAGGAAATATCATTTGTGTGACCTAACTATTTTTGCTTGTATTTATGTATTTTCCTGTTGTTGTAAAGTATATATGTGTGTGTGTGGTGTATATGTATATCTGCTGTATCAAGCACAGCTGCTTCAGGACACAAGATCAGAAGTGTCATTTTTAAAACAGTTCTGGAGGAAATATTTATTTATTTATTTAATAATGCGATGAATATGTCAGCTATAGGAATTAAATGACACTGTTTGGCATTACTGGCTGTGTGTATTTTTTGATGTAATCGTGTGCATGAAGTGCAACTAACAGATACTAAATGATGAAGCTGAAGCTGCAGGAGAAGAAGACTGGGCTGAGATTCCCAAAAGCATCGTTAACAAACTTACAAAACAGCACTAACTGCAGAGATGTGAAGTATCCTCACCGCAGACGAGTGCGGACGGACGGGTTTAGGCCAGACAGGGATTCGCTCGGGAGGACAGTGTCACGGCTGGTCTGAGGTGACTTCAGTTTGACTTGGGTTTTCATCGTTTCCTCTGTTTGCATTGGTTTCTATGATTATTCATTGTTTGATTAATTCGCTACACCTGTTTCTTGTTTCTTTCATTGATTATCTTTTGATTAGCCCTTAGTTTGAAGTGTTCTTAGTCTGATCTAGTTACATTCCAGCTATTTTAAGGCATGAAGAAGAAATCTTAAGGAATGTTAAGGAAAAAAAACTTTAAATATGTCATTTTGGTGATCAAAGATGAATTTAAAGGGATACAATTATTGACTACAGGGCGACTTTAAGGGAAAGAAAACAATATGTGCATTTTGGTTCATTTGTGTGGGTGAAACTGGTATCCGAATATGAGAGCTGTTTCTCGTCCACAGTACGGAGTGTCTTTTTCACTGATGATATCCCCAAGCACTTGTCCTCTGTAGCGTCAGTGCACTCTATATCTCGCCGTCTCGCTCTGGACGGATGAACAGTCCATCACACACACACACACACACCTACGGTCTCCAGTTCAGCCATACGCTTTGGATTGCGGGAGAAAGTAGAGCTAAAACTCCTCATGGTACACGAGTTGAAGACACTTCTGGAGGCGTTGATGAAAGGCTATTAAAGCTTATTGAGTGCAGCAGACAAAAACAAAACTAGTTCTATTGATCCAATCCCGAAGTCCTGATCCTGCGCTGCATCTGTCCTCGTCCTGCACACACACACACACACACACACGGCTGGTTTCCACATGATGGATGCCGTTACCACTGCACGGATGACAGATGGACGATCAGCTCTGTCTGAACACAGGCCGAAACTGCTTATTCTCAACTTTGAGAGTTTAGCAACAATTTCTACAACATCAGTTATCATCTTGACGTTATACCAATGGCTAATTACGAGAAT